GTTACAGAAAGAGCACGGATACTGTGGTGCTTGTTGGTGATTTGAACGCACAAGTCGGAAAATTGTCCTCTGACGAGCTTCATCTGGGCGGCCAACATGGTGTTGGCTCCCGTAATGATAACAGTGAGCGGTTGCTACACCTGTGTGAAAGTGCTCGTCTCTTCCTCGTGAGCACTAACTCTGCATAGCATTCGCAGCAGAGTGACTTGGCGGCCACCAGCCTCGGAGCAGCCATGGACGCAAATCGATCACATCGCGATTAGTTACCGCTGGAGAGGCTGGGTCCAAACCTGTCGCTCGCTTTGGAGCACCAGCGTGAACTCCGATCACTCTCTTGTGTGTGCTGATCTGCTGGTGCGTTTCGGCGGACGTCCGCAACGTCGTTCTGAGCGTATTGACATCAGCCAGCTGGCGAAGCCAGGTTTCCTGATTGCCTATCAAACTACAGTTGGCACATCGGCTAAGTAAGTGTCCACCTAACACCGTCGAAGATCACTGGTCGCACATTCGTCAAACATTACTGTCAGCAGACATGTCTTCATGTGGCAAATCAAATTGCTAACCTGGACATTGGGTCTCTACAACGTCTCTGAAACTTATGGATGCTTGCCGACGTATTCCGGCTGGAAGTGAGTATAATGAGACTCGTTAACATTTCAAGGCAAAACTGCGTGCTAGCCTGAAGTGACACCGCGAAGCCTGGTGGTCTCATCGTGCATCTAAAATGGAAACAGCCGCTGCCGTCTGATACGGGAAATAGGCAGCAGGCGACCTGGTGTTAGCGAGACAGTACGCGACGAGAGTGGACAGCCGATCCACAGCTTGTCAAAACGTTTGGAGCGTTGGACCGAACACTTTGCAAAGCAGTTTAACCAATCTGAGTTATCGTTTTCTTTTTCGGACATTGAGTGCCCTTCTCCGTGGGCCGTCTCCTTAGATCCGCCCACACGCGCAGTAGTCGAACGTGAGATCGGACTGTTGAAATTGCATAAGGCCGCTGGTGCAGATAGAATTCCTCAGCTCGCCACAAATTCAGGGGACCCGCCCTTGTAGGTGATTTACACGCATTGCTACTAGAACTTTGGGAGCAGGAAAGTTTCCCGGCAGACTGGAACCGCTCCATCCTAGTCTTAATTTCCATGGGAGACTCTCGTTCGGAATGCGGTAACCATAGAGGTGGCAGTCTGATCTCCATCACCTCTAAAGTGCTTGCCTCTGTCGTTCTCCACAGATTGACTGGCGTTCGTGAAGGCCAGCTCCACGAAGAGCAAGCCGGGTTTCGTCCAAATCTAGGCTGCATCGACCACATCTTCATTTTGCGTCAACTGTTGAAGCACCGCCATGTTTATTGGCGACCCACTGTTGTGTTTCTCGACATCAAAGGTGCCTTCACTTCGGTGGGTCGATGTGCCCTTTGGGACTGTGAAAAGGTGTGCGCGATAATTATTTAAAGCTTATCAAAGCGCTGTACGCGCATATTTCAGGAACAGTGCGGGTTTATGGCCAACTATCACCGCCCTTCACTATCCCCAGTAGTGTAAGGCAAGACTGCCCGCTGTCACCTTTCCTCTTTAACTTCGCTATTGATGAAGTCATAGAAACAGCGTTCGCTGGACACGACCTAGAAGGTGTAGAGATACTTCCTGGTGAGCGACTTCTTGACTTGGAGTATGCAGACGACATTGCCCTCATTTGTGACAGCGCTCAAACGTGCCAGTTTGCACTGGACTGATTAGCACTGGCTGTCAAACGTTTTGGGCTATGCTTTGCTCCTTCGAAATGCAAAGTTTTTTTTCCAAGGTTTTCAAAGAACACACCTCTGTGCTGACCCTTGGTGGTGATCAGCTAGAATTTGCTCAGGAATTCAAGTACTTGGGTAGTTACATTAGCACCTCTGGGATCTAAGCTGAGAGTGCGAACCTTATAGCAAAAGCTGGAGGTGCTTTTACCAATCTGCTCCACCTGTGGCGCAGACGCAACATCACTCTTGCCCTGAAGGTCAGATTTTATAATGCAACCCTCCGTTCAATCCTTATACGATTGTGGAAGCTGGTCCATCAGGTTGACAGACATAAAGAGGTTAGCCACGGTCGATCATTGTTGCCTCCGTAGCTTAGTTCAAGTCTGGTGGGAGCACCACGTGAGCAATGAGTGTGTTCGGCGTCGCGTATTTGATGCAAGAAGAGCTAGGGAACCGCTCAGCACCATTATATCACGTACCATGCTTTGATGGCTGGGCCACGTGTTGCGCATGCCAGCCCAATGGCTCCTGCGACGTGCATTGTTTGCGCGCCGGGGATGCGGCTGGAAGAGGAGGAGGGGAGACCAAGTGATGACTTGGTCGAGAGAAATGAAAACTCTTAATTCAAAGTTGCCGTTGGTCGGCGCATTCCGACTGCCTGGCTGGGCTTCTAAGGACGTTGAACATGTTTGGTTGGGCACACTTGCTGCAATGGCGTTTGTGTTGTGAATTGCTTTGTCCATCTTCCTCCTACTTAGCCTCCCCTCCAATCACGATCTCATTAGCTAGACATAATGTAACCCTCTTTTTGCGGCAGGATAGCCGGCTGTTGGCTCTCCGGAACGATGTCCGTCCGTTACTGAGGACTCAGTCGGCGTGCCTCTCTTGTATTTTCTTATTGACTTTTCTCTTGCAGCACAATAGCTGAGATGATTTTTACTTGCAGCTAACGTGTATTCTGATGAGGATGATGACGGACCCCTGCCAGGTTCCTCTCCCATTACGTCCGGTTGCCAGCAGCCAGTGCCACTTCGCCATGGGTGACAGCCGCGGATCTGCATGCTTGACAGTTGACTGTGATTTAGCACGGAATAGTACCAGACACCGGTGTTTCGATCAGAAGGTTAGCTGCTGTCCTCTGCACAGTTCGTAGCTGGCCTGGCAGAAAAAGAGGAACCGGGCTATATCACAGACAACTGTCAATCATGCAGATGCGCGAATTTCACCCATGGCGAAGTGGTACTAGCTGCTGGCATCCAGAAGTCATGCAGACAGATCCCGGCAGGCGTTCCTTGGAAGCCGTACCACTGACGAGACCCAGGAGACCGGAACACCTGTGTCTGGTGCTTTTCCAGACTAGCCTAAGCATGCTGATTGAGAGTGGATCGTGATGAACTATCTCTAAAGCATCAATTGTACCTATACTTCTCGCTTACAGTTAGTAGCACATCCAAACTGTTTACTTCATAGCTTAACTAGTCTCGATTTTTATTGACTATTATCCGTGTCAACCTTAACCTATACACTGCGGGGGCGCCCAGGTCTCCTCGAAGTAAGGTACAGTAAATTACTTTGGGTCATGTTGTCTACCCATTCCAGCTTGGATTCATGGGATTGTTCTCTCTCTCACTCACCGGGTTGACAGCTTACAAAGTGCTGGTGCGTCGTTTAAGCGTAAAACTGCAGTTCACTGATTTGTTGCTTGCTTCGAATCTAAGTTGTTTTTAATGTAGGCATCACGACACATACCATGGTTACTAGATCTGAATGCCATGAGCTCTCTTCAAACTCATTTCTCGGGCTTTATACCTCCCATTTTATTTCATGTATCCTTGACGACTACACTTAGTATGACAACTAAACTCTTTTTGACAACAATTTCACACTGTGTAACGGGGCTATTCAAACATACCTGTGTCACGGCCATTGCATTACCATGCGGCTGGTTTCCCCGTGTCACACCGAAAGTTGTGAAGAACTATTCAACTTTCACACACTCAACACGGCTTCTCGCCATCTTCGTTGCTTTATTCCGTAGGTCCCTAGTTTTGTGTCGTTAAAATCAGTTAGTTATGTCCGATCATCACTAATAAGTAGTAACCTTTGTGTGCTACGCTACACAGCCCGTATGATGACATTTGATGGTGACTTTTTATTGTGTTTCCGCGAGATTCACTAGGGTATTTCATCAAGTACATGATCATACTCATCGGTTCATACTTCATTAGAATGTAGTAGCAGTCGTACTCGCAGTACCATCTTCATTCTAATTGTACAAGAGGAAAGCTTGATAACCGAAGGTATCCAGCTACTTCTCAGTAAAATGAAAAGACTGCTTGAATATCACGTCCAAACATTTCCCCTAGACGTGATTACATATGATCCATTATGTTCTTCTCACCTGTTATGCCGATTGATCTACCATGCAACTGGCAATATGCCTAGACTCAAAATGACCAAAACTGCCTGTGTAGTCGGCCAACCAGAAGTCTATCTGCCTGATACGTCTCAATGTAAACTAGTAGTTGCGTTACATCAAATTACTTGTCAAAGTATTCTTGGAACACGGGGACTGGCTGTAGTAGAATAAGTAAGGAAATTTTCAAATATACATTGAGCCTTAGGTAAGCTATTTGTGAATTGTAGGAGTTATCTCGTCAACCTACATAAATTATTTGTTACTTCTGTTGGCCTTGCTGTTAGCGCCGTTTAAGGCAAAAGGTGATTGACCCTTGAAAGAATCTGGGATTGTAGTACTTCCTCATGCTCCTTCTTGACAATGGATAACTCGCTTGTCATCCTCCGGTAGATAAGGATGGCTTTCACTTGTCGTTTTATGGAAGAAAACTAGGCACTTCACACTCAGCTACTTGTTGACCGACAGTCACGTCTCGCTTTACAACGCACCGGCGGCACCGTTTAACAAACATGATGATGAATCACGGACAGACATCTTTACCCCCCTGTACAACACACTTTGAACGGTCTTCTGAACTTCCTTTCCTTGCACCTATCCTGTCCCAATTCAGGGAGGAAGTTAGCTCTACATCGCATCCCCGAACTGTATGCTGTCAACACTGGTCTCACCTTAGACTTCCTCGTCCACATTAATGCATCTATATGTGCTAAAGTCTATGCGTGTTCCATATTCCGTACTATCTGTAGCAACCACTGTAGTGTGTCCACATTTTTCACCCATCAGCGTCATCACGCATTGTTTTATTATCTTCCACTTTCGTAACGTCTTTTAACTCCACAGTGTGTTCTATCCTCGTTGATTACCGTCTCATTGACTGGAGTTTTTGCCCAAGTTATGGATATCCCGAAGTTATACCGAATTTCTACTTTTGATCTGGTAGGTCCGAGTCACACATGTCCAGTTTTCATGACCCAGCCTTACCACTGTCTAGCGGATTGTTGAAGGAATCTGTCTTCAAAATTCTGAAAATGCAATCTTTGGAAGCAATGTGTTGCTTAACATACCCATGCAATCTGAACTTGGTTTATCTTCATTACAGTAG